GCTTGAATTTAAAACCATGTATTAACATATGTACAAACTTTGTTTACAATCTATTGTATTTATGTCCCTAAGCAAAAATATTTTTTAACTAGAGAAAGTAAGAATAGTGTGAAGCTAATGTGACTTTGATTAATCTCAGTATTTTATATTGAAAAAAAAGCCAGAGCAAATATTTAATTTGTAATAGCAGTAAGTAGTACATATGAATTGTGCCCTGGTTTTCCTTTTCTACTTTGCAGGAAGAATGTTTCAATTAGCAATAATCACACCTCGGATAAACCTCATTAGCTAAGATGCTGCCACTGCACAAAGCTTGCAGGAAGAATGTTAATGTGGCTAGGAATTTAGAGTAAGGGCTAGGTGAGGCAGCTCATGCCTCTAGTCCTAGTCTAGGAGGTTGAGGAGGGTGCATTGCTTGAGCTCAGGAGTTCAAGACCAGCAGAGACCAGCCTGAGCAAGAATGGGACCCCTTCTCTATTAAAAAACCAGAAAAACTAGCTGGGCATTGTGGGCGTGAGTAGTCCCAGAGACTGGAGCGGCTGAGGCAAGATCATTTGAGCCTGGCTCGGCGCCTATAGCTCAACCGGCTAAGGCGCCAGCCACGTACACCTAAGGTGGCAGGTTCGAATCCCCAGCCCGGACCCGCCAAACAACAATGACGGCTGCAACCAAAAAATAGCCGGGCGTTGTGGCGGGCGCCTGTGGTCCCAGCTACTTGGGAGGCGGAGGCAGGAGACTCGCTTGAGCCCAGGAGTTGGAGGTTGCTGTGAGCTGTAAAGCCACGGCACTCTATCCAGGGGGACAGCTTGAGGCTCTGTCTCAAAAAAAAAAAAAGATCATTTGAGCCCAAGAGTTTGAGGTTGCTGTGAGCTGTGATGCCATAGCACTCTACCCAGGATAACAGAGTGAGACTCTATCTTAAAAAGAAAAAAAAAAGAGAGAATTTCGAGTAAGGAAGAAGATAACTGAAGGAAGTGTTAATCTTCATTTAAGGGATTTCGAAATTGTTATATAAAGTCTAATTTTCTCATTTCTACTCCTTCTGCATAGACAATTTTGTGTATAATTTCAGGGATACATGCACCTCTGCATTAATATCACATAGTTTGTCTTGAAAAACGTGTGTGTGTGTGTGTGTTGTTCTGTCTTGTTCTGTCTTTGGGGCTAGAGTGCAATATAACCTCAACTTCCTGAGCTCAAGTGATCCTCTCGCTTCAGTCTCCCGAGTACCTGAGACTACAGGTGTATGCCACCACACCCAGTTAATTTTTGGTCTATTTTTTGTGGACATGAGGTGTCATTCTTGCATAAGCTGGTTTCAGACTTCTGGCTGCAAGTGATACTCTTGCTTCAGCATGGGCCACCACACCTGGCCAAAAAACTTGTATTTATTTAGAATTAAATTTAGTTTCTCCTACTGAACAGTTTCTTGAATAATAACATAAATTAAATTAGTATATGACATGAATTACCACATAAAGCTTGAGTGTGGTCACGTGGATGAGACAGATGACGACTTCAGACTTCACCTGCACTTAACACTACTATAATAGCGTGTCACGATGTTAAAGAACAAATTGATTTCCTTTCTTCATCCTTCTACTTGCTTTCGTCACTTTCAGACACTGTTGCTAAATGTTATAGACTGTTATTACTAGACACAGTCACACAGAGATTTACTGTTAGACTACTTAAAAGCAGTTTTTATGGATAAAGCATAGCTTTTCTGTTATTTTTGATGGCATTGAATTGTCTTATTTCTTAATGACAATTTTCTCCCTGCCTTCTCTCTTACATCTCAAGAAATATTAACGACAGTTTATCTTTAGAGGAAGTCGTCCTCTCTCTAAACCAACATACTGACATGACATAGTTCAGCTACAAGTCAGGGTAGGAGATACGCTTGGGTCATATAGCCTCCCAGTGCACAGATGGTGACTTTGTAGTACCATCTGTTTACTGTTTCTTCACAGCCATTTACAATTTCTTCTCCATGAGGGCTGAATAGAAAAAATAGAAAGAAGTAGTTAAACCTTGTTTTTAGAGTTCCTGGAAGTTAGTGGTTCTTTTCTCCTCACTTTTTCCTTCTATTCCAGTAAAGGTTCTGCTTATTCTTTCTAAATACATGTCTAAATTCTTCATTTATACAGACCCTTGCTTCGTATTTCTTCATGCTTAGTACTGTGCAATTCACAAGTAACAGAAGAACACATTATGTTAGTCTAATATGTGTATGCTTGAAAAAAATAATCATGTAAAGCAATCTGTTCTGTTCCTTCCTTTAACTTTGTAGAACAAATCTAAATCATATACTTATTCCTTATAATTAAAAATGGAATCATTGACCACTTTTCTTTTAGAAGGCGTCTGGTATTTTTTCCTTCTGAGACTAAACAGATGGAAAGGTAATAGTTGAAACTTAGCCCTACAGCATGCCTAGTAAGGAACGTGAAAGGCTGGCACAGAAACAGTAGTTCTCGACCTTAGCACATCTTTTCTAAATGTTTCTTTGTGAGGCGTTTTGTCCTCTTCATCTCTAGGCAAGATCTTTGCTTACTGAAAGAAAGAAATTCACTTTAGACTAGGTAATATTGCATTATGATGCATAAATAGCGTTTCACTTGGGCTACATCATAGGAGAGTTTGGACTTGTGATGACTGAATGGTATAGTTACTTTTGCCCTATGGATTTGTTTTTAAAAGCTCAAGACCTATTAAAATGTATAAGGTAAAAACTTTGTTTGAATGTTATCTGTTTTTGAATTATTTGCCCACATTCTTTTGGGGGAGGAGTGGGGAGCTTTTATGCTGAGATTAGAACTGTGAGATGTCACTTTTTCTTCCAGTTGGATGTTTTTCCTTTTTCTCTTCTCATGTTATTATTAAGGCCACTTGTGTGACAGTCCTTTGTATCATCATTGGTGGGAATGGTGTTTTACTCAAAGATTCAGAGTAACTTTGCCTCTTATGTTTTTGATATACTACTTATATTTTAATATTGTTATCTTCCTATCTTTCTATTCACCATTTTCCAATCTGTACTGTCCTTTTATCATTCATTCATTCATTCATTTATTTAAGACCTAGTCTCTGTTGCCCTGGGTAGAGTGCTGTGATGTCATCACAGCTCCTAGCAACCTCAAACTCCTGGTCTCAAGAGCTCCTCTTGCCTCAGCCTCCTGAGTAGCTGGGACTACAGGTCCCAGCTTGCCATGATCCCTGGCTAAGTTTTCTATTTTTAGTAGAGACAAGGTCTTATTCTTGCTCAGGCTAGACTTGAACTCCTGAGCTCAGATGATTTACCCACCTTGGCCTCCTTGGGTGCTAGGATTACAGGAGTGAGCCACATTGCCCAGCCTGGTATGTGCTTTTAATTACATTTCCAAAGCAAGTGTTACAGTTTTATAGCCATTATATTATAGTACTTTCAAAATTTACTCCTTGGTAAGAGTCAGTAAAACCTTGAAACAAGGTTATATGATAAAATTTATATAAAAGCTGTGGTAGATGGTGGGGGTATTGTATATACCTCTGTAAACCCTACTTTTACTTGTATTATAATCCTTAAATTAATTAGACTTGATTGCTAAAATCTAAGAAATCAGATTGCTTCCAAGTTCGTTTTATAAGTTGTATGTGCTTCTAGAATGGTCTAAAGGTCTAGTTTGGGTTAGATCTTGGTCAATATTGTTTGTATTTGGGTAATTCCATTTTTTAAATTAGAGTAGTCAGTGATTGGCCTTAAAATGGGGATGTTGTCCCTTCCTTTAGAAATCATATCTGGCTGATTTGGTATATTTATTTAGTCTGTAGTATACACATATAATTGAATGGTAAAGCTTGGTGAATTAAGGGTAATGGTCATCTCATTCTTATTTATTTCTTTTAAAATTGCCTTTAATAGCATGCTGCCTTCCTTCACCTCTTCTGTCTAGACTTTCAGCTGTCGCACTCAAAACAGATGGATAGTTTTTTTCTTTAAGGAAAAATCATATACTTGAGGAGAAGGTTCAGGGTACAGTTTGTAATAATTTGATGTTGTACATGTGTGGTTTTTGTTTGCTTTTTATTTTGAGAGTTTGTTTTTGCTTGGCTTTAAGCATAGCATAATATCCTGTGCATATTAGGATTTTTTGAGACAGAGCCTCAAGTTGTCCTCCTGGGTGAAGTGCCGTGGCATCACAGCTCACAGCAGCCTCCAACTCCTGGGCTCAAGCAAGTCTCCTGCCTCCACCTCCCAAGTAGCTGGGACCACAGGTGCCCGCCACAATACCTGGCTATTTTTTGGTTGCAGCCATCGTTGTTTGGCGGACCCGGGCTGGATTCAAACCCGCCACCTTAGGTGTATGTGGCTGGCACCTTAGCCACTTGAGCCACAGGCGCTGAGCCAATATAGGATTTTGTCTGAGAAATTCTCACAATGGCCACCACTAGCAATTTACTGTCTTTCCTGCGAGGATAAGGCCTCCCAAGAAGATACAGTACTCAGCAATGCACCTGTATTTCAGCACCCCCACCCCCACCTTTGGCCAGGCACTATAGCACAGCAAATGATATCCAGCATGGTACACATTCAAATTCTGAACTTTGTACTAATTTGGAATTGTTTTGGAAAGTTCATTACAGCAAAAGTAGCCTATCTTAAAAAAAAAATGTATATTTAAAATCTAAAACCAAAAATATAGCAGAAGGGGCAAAATAGTGTTTCTTTTGCAAAATAGTATGAGAACCTGATGAAAATAATTTTACTCTAAATATAGTTATTATTTAAATATTACTAGTTATTTTTTATTTTTATATAATACCTTATATTAAACTTTATTGTCATAACAAGTAGCTATATATATTTCATTTTGAATTGAAAAATGTTAGTTTATTTCCCGTAACAGAGCATTCTTATTCTGTAATTAATGTGTTAACATGTCATGCAAATAATTGGCTAATGTGTTAACAGTTCTTTAAGTTTTGTAATCAGCTTTTGGTTTTTTCTACTTCCTCAGGTACTTTGGTCTGGGAAGCCATATGGTTCATCTCGAAGTATTGTAAGGAAAATTGGAACTAATTTGTCTCTGATTCAATGCCCAAGAGTTCAATTTCAGGTACTATGTTTTACATATTTCAAATTTTTATATCAATATGTACATTAGAAATACAGGGTGGTCCTAAAGTTTGTGTGTAATTTACTATGTTAAACTATTTTAAATTGCACACGAACTTTATGGACACTTGTATAAACAAGCAAGATGGTTATAAAAGTATTTTCTTTGATGCTTTTGAACCTTTTCCCTCATTGATGCCACTATCAATAAAATAAAAAAGGATTAAAAAAAAGCAGTAAAATCTAATTTTAGTTCCTCTGTGAAGTGATTATTCAAGATCTTTAAGACATTTATCCTTCTTAAGAAGGCGTGTTAGAACCATATAGAAGCTAAGCAGTTGTTAATTCCTAGGTGACCTGAACCACAGGCCTTATGTTACTGTAAAGTACATTGTTTTTCTTTCCTCTTTGAACAACTACTGTTTCCTTTGTTTGTAGATGTCTCTGTGGGTGCCATATAATTTGCTTTCTCTAGCATTGGTTTCAAGCTCAGCATTAATTGTAGGATCCATTGCTTTGGCAATGATAGTGTTAAGACAAAAGAGCTAACTGTAGTTCTCTCAATGAGATGGTAGTCAAACCTGGAAGTAGGAGAACTTTTTTTTTTGGCAGTTTTTGGCTAGGGCTGGGCTTGAACCCTCCACCTCTGGTATATGGAGCTGTGCCCTACCCCTTTGAGCCACAGGCGCCGCTCAGTAGTAGAACTTTTGAATGGTTACACCTTAGAATGGTATTCTCTTCTAGCATCAAATCAGGGGCAACTGTATGCTTTGCCTAGAGCAGTGGTTCTCAACCTGTGGGTTGTGACCCCTTTGTAACAGTGAAAATACATCCTGCATATCAAATATTTACACTAGGATTCATAACAGTAGCAAAATTACAGTTATGAAGTAGCAACGAAAATAATTTTATGGTTGGGGGTCACCACAACATGAGGAACTGTATTAAAGGTTTGTGGCATTAGGAAGGTTAAGAACCATTGGCTTAGAGATACTGCTGTTTTCTCTGATAGTGCTTTTGTTTCTTCTTCTTTTTTTTTTTTGAGACAGAGCCTCAAGCTGTCCCCCTGGGCAGAGTGCCATGGCATTACAGCTCACAGCAACCTCCAACTCCTGGGCTCAAGCGAGTCTCCTGCCTCCGCCTCCCAAGTAGCTGGGACCACAGGTGCCCGCCACAACGCCCAGCTATTTTTTGGTTGCAGCCGTCATTGTTGTTTGGCGGGTCCAGGCTGGGGATTCGAACCCGCCACCTTAGGTGTACGTGGCTGGCGCCTTAGCCGGTTGAGCTATAGGCGCCGAGCCCTTTTTTTTTTTTTTTTGAGACAGATTCTCAAGCTTTTGCCCTTGGTAGAGTGCTGTGGCATCACAGCTCACAGCAACCTTAAACTCTTGGGTTTAAGCCACTGAGCCACAGATGCTACCTTTTTTTTTTTTTTTTTTGGCAATTGTCATTTTTGTTTTACCTGGCCCTGGCTGAATTCAAACCTGCCAGCCAGTACCCTAACCACTGTGCTACAGGCACCACCCAGTGCTTTTGTGTCTTATTGTTACGGTGTTAGACATAGTTTTATTCTTATTTTTTAATAATTTCCTACAATAATATTACAGAAAATTTCAGTTCAGCATTAAATAAAATTAATTATTAATAATTATTAATAATCAATTATTCAAATAAAATTCAACAGATAAGGATCCCTATTTATTTATTTATTTATTTAGAGACAGAGTCTCACTATGTTGTTCTGGGTAGCAACCTCCAGCTCTTGGGCTTAGGCGATTGTCTTGCCTCAGGCTCCCTAGTAGCTGGGACTACAGGCGAGTTCTAATCTTTTTAATCATACTTCAGTGATGGCTGCTGACTGATCAGGGTGGTGATTGCTGACGGTTGGGTTTGCTCTGGCAATTTCTAAAAATAAGATAATAATAGGCTAGGTGCCTGTAGCACAGTGCTATGGTGTCATAGTTCACAGCAACCTCCAACTCTTGAGCTTAGGTTATTCTCTTGCCTCAGCCTCCCAAGTAGCTGGTTCTACCGGCACCTGCCACAACACCTGGCTATGTTTTGGTTGTAGTTGTTGTTGTTGTTTGGCAGGCCTGGGCTGGGTTTGAACCCACCAGTTCCCATGTATGTGGCTGGAGCCCTAGCTGCTGAGCTATAGGTGCCAAGCCTGGATTCCCAATATTATTTATTTATTTATTATTTATTTATTTTTATTTTTATTTTTTATTTTTTTGGCCAGGCCTGGTTCTGAACCCACCACCTCTGGTATATGGGGCTGACACCCTACTCCTTCGAGCCACAGGCGCCGCCCTTTTATTTATTTATTTATTTTTGAGACAGAGTCTCATTATGTTGCCCTCAGTAGAGTGCTGTGGTGTGACAGTTTACAGCACCCTCAAACTCTTGGGCTTCAGGGATTCTTTTGCCTCAACCTCCAAGTAGCTGGGATTACAGGCACCCATCACAATGCCTTGCTATTTTTTGGTTGCATTGTTGTTTTAGCAGGCCTGGGCTAGGTTCGAAACTGCCAGCTTGGTATCTGTGGCTGGCATCAGTGTATGTGGCAGTGCCCTACTCACTGAGCTACGGGTGCCCACTCAGGATCCCAATTTTAAATAGTAGATTGGCATGTGGAGATGTGGAAGATGTATTAAACTCATTATTCAGAAGTGCTCATGCACACTTATTTGATATTACATTGTACTCATAAATCACCTCTATTGGCAAATGGAAGTAAAAATCTATTTCTAAGTAAGTGGTAGTGCTGTGTTTATAATCTAGCTTGCCAATTGACCAGTTAAACCTTTGAGCATCAATCTAGAAACTGAAATATTGGAACTTATTTGATAAAAAGAATTAACTTTTTATCAAACCTTAGGCTGAAAAAAAATCCAGATGAAGAAATCTATAGTAGAAGTCTCTCAACAATTTCCAAGAATTCATTTCACTTAGATATGAATTATTGTTTACATTATTTGCCAACTTTTTTCAAATAACATACTGTGTTAACTGAGGCTTATTAACTTTTTTCTGATTGCTCAATGCCACTGAAATTTTCTGTTTAACATCCTAGTTGCAGAAGAACTACCTTCAGCATTTGTGTTCATGCAGCTATAGATTTGTGACGGGTTGTGGAGCTGTCTAGTGCATTCCGATTGTAACCCAAATCTGCCTTCGCAGTCACTGGGCTGATGTGTGAGAGCAGTACATTTATTTGGGAGGGTTCTTATTCTCAGTGTTGTTATTGGTTACTTAAAAAGGGTATGAGCAGAAAAAGAATATTAGATTTAGTACAGGAACTTCATTTGATTGAAAGAAATGGATTAACATAGGGATAAGAGTTAAGGGAAACATTGGTGACCTACTTGAGAATGTTGTGGTGGAAGACAGAAGCCATTTATTTATAGTGAGATTTTTATTTCCAGGCATATTGAGTCTTTTTAAATTCAATGTTAAAGTGAGTATTTTGTCTGCTACTTAGATGTTTGAATCTGCTGTTAATTCTCTATATATCTCTTTTTTCATTGTCTATCAGAAATATAAAAAATACAGTATCTTCCAAAAATATAGCAGGTGTAGTTTAGAGTAATAAAATTGCAAATGTGTTTCTTGTTATTTTTAGGGCTCATATGAGCATGAGATGTACCTGAGCTATCCAGAAGAGTCCAACGTGAGACTGGGTAGCCACTGTGGGGCCTCGCGCGCATAGACATCATTATAATAAGGCCATATTTAGGAAACCGAAGTTGAAATAGATTAAAGTGAGAGTGGAACATGCATGAGGTCAATTTGCAAACAGGAGTTAGGAAGTCAGAACCAGTCTCCCATTGTCACAGGTGATTACAGTGTCTTTTGGAAGACCCATTAAAATGCAGCTTCCTTTTTCATTACTTCCTCTCTTCCTGTTGACTTACAGACACTTCCATTCCTTTCTTAGTACCATATCATTGGAAACAGGTCAGTCTGTCAC